TACACACTCATCTCTCCGCACACGATACACACTCATCTCTCCGCACACGAAACACACTCATCTCTCCGCACACGAAACACACTCATCTCTCCGCACACGATACACACTCATCTCTCCGCACACGATACACACTCATCTCTCCGCACACGATACACACTCATCTCTCCGCACACGATACACACTCATCTCTCCGCACACGATACACACTCATCTCTCCGCACACGAAACACTCATCTCTCCGCACACGAAACACACTCATTGCACACGAAACACACTCATCTCTCCGCACACGAAACACTCATCTCTCCGCACACGATACACACTCATCTCTCCGCACACGATACACTCATCTCTCCGCACACGAAACACACTCATCTCTCCGCACACGAAACACTCATCTCTCCGCACACGAAACACACTCATCTCTCCGCACACGATACACTCATCTCTCCGCACACGATACACACTCATCTCTCCGCACACGAAACACACTCATCTCTCCGCACACGATACACACTCATCTCTCCGCACACGAAACACACTCATCTCTCCGCACACGATACACACTCATCTCCCCGCACACGAAACACACTCATCTCTCCGCACACGATACACTCATCTCTCCGCACACGAAACACTCATCTCTCCGCACACGATACACACTCATCTCTCCGCACACGAAACACACTCATCTCTCCGCACACGAAACACACTCATCTCTCCGCACACGAAACACACTCATCTCTCCGCACACGATACACACTCATCTCTCCGCACACGAAACACACTCATCTCTCCGCACACGATACACACTCATCTCTCCGCACACGAAACACACTCATCTCTCCGCACACGATACACACTCATCTCTCCGCACACGAAACACACTCATCTCTCCGCACACGAAACACTCATCTCTCCGCACACGAAACACTCATCTCTCCGCACACGAAACACTCATCTCTCCGCACACGATACACACTCATCTCTCCGCACACGAAACACACTCATCTCTCCGCACACGATACACACTCATCTCTCCGCACACGAAACACACTCATCTCTCCGCACATGATACACACTCATCTCTCCGCACACGAAACACACTCATCTCTCCGCACACGAAACACACTCATCTCTCCGCACATGATACACACTCATCTCTACGCACATGATACACACTCATCTCTCCGCACACGAAACACACTCATCTCTCCGCACACGAAACACTCATCTCTCCGCACACGATACACACTCATCTCTCCGCACACGATACACACTCATCTCTCCGCACACGATACACACTCATCTCTCCGCACACGAAACACACTCATTGCACACGAAACACACTCATCTCTCCGCACACGAAACACTCATCTCTCCGCACACGAAACACTCATCTCTCCGCACACGAAACACACTCATCTCTCCGCACACGAAACACTCATCTCTCCGCACACGAAACACACTCATCTCTCCGCACACGATACACTCATCTCTCCGCACACGATACACACTCATCTCTCCGCACACGAAACACACTCATCTCTCCGCACACGAAACACACTCATCTCTCCGCACACGAAACACTCATCTCTCCGCACACGATACACACTCATCTCTCCGCACACGAAACACACTCATCTCTCCGCACACGAAACACTCATCTCTCCGCACACGATACACACTCATCTCTCCGCACACGATACACACTCATCTCTCCGCACACGATACACACTCATCTCTCCGCACACGATACACACTCATCTCTCCGCACACGATACACACTCATCTCTCCGCACACGAAACACACTCATCTCTCCGCACACGATACACACTCATCTCTCCGCACACGAAACACACTCATCTCTCCGCACACGATACACACTCATCTCTCCGCACACGAAACACTCATCTCTCCGCACACGATACACACTCATCTCTCCGCACACGAAACACACTCATCTCTCCGCACACGAAACACTCATCTCTCCGCACACGATACACACTCATCTCTCCGCACACGATACACACTCATCTCTCCGCACACGATACACACTCATCTCTCCGCACACGAAACACTCATCTCTCCGCACACGATACACACTCATCTCTCCGCACACGATACACACTCATCTCTCCGCACACGAAACACACTCATCTCTCCGCACACGAAACACACTCATCTCTCCGCACACGAAACACACTCGATGAGCTGTTATTCCCGGAGCTGGAGAAACTGCAGGATCCTTCAGCAAGGGTCAAAGCTTCACTGTGGGATTTACAGCAAAAGATCTGATTCATACGCCGTAGAAAGATTGAGATGCAAATCAAACAAACTCAACGTTAAATCTTGAGTTTTATCAGACATATGATTTTCTATTTTAAAATACTCTTCTTAGTAAGAGCAAGAACGATTCAATTGGTAACGATTTAATCCATCTGTGAGACTGGTTGAGCTTCTGGCGTGTTTGACATTCATACTGACTGTGTGAGCTTCAAAGGTCAAACTCATTCAGGGACACACACCGAGCGCAGATGCGCGTTTGAAATCTGTGCGCTACAAAGCCTGGGTTCTGCCAGCGAGCGGCTCAGTCGATCAAACCCAGCGGGTCCGGCGGCTTTCATCTCTGGACCCGCACACGCAGAAGCACAACACACAGCTGACAAACTATTAAAACAGATTTATTGAGGCTCATTCAGTGATGTCAGAGCTACAGAAAACAATTCAGGAGACATGTCAGAGCTGCTGGGGTCAGGGGGCAGAGCTGCTGGGGTCAGAGTTCAGAGCTACTGGGGTCAGTCAGGGGTCAGAGCTGCTGGGGTCAGTCAGGGGTCAGAGCTGCTGGGGTCAGGGGGCAGAGCTGCTGGGGTCAGTCAGGGGTCAGAGCTGCTGGGGTCAGTCAGGGGTCAGAGCTTCAGGGGTCAGGGGGCAGAGCTGCTGGGGTCAGTCAGGGGTCAGAGCTGCTGGGGTCAGTCAGGGGTCAGAGCTGCTGGGGTCAGAGTTCAGAGCTGCTGGGGTCAGAGTTCAGAGCTACTGGGGTCAGAGTTCAGAGCTACTGGGGTCAGTCAGGGGTCAGAGCTGCTGGGGTCAGTCAGGGGTCAGAGCTGCTGGGGTCAGAGTTCAGAGCTACTGGGGTTAGTCAGGGGTCAGAGCTGCTGGGGTCAGTCAGGGGTCAGAGCTGCTGGGGTCAGTCAGGGGTCAGAGCTGCTGGGGTCAGGGGGCAGAGCTGCTGGGGTCAGTCAGAGTTCAGAGCTGCTGGGGTCAGAGTTCAGAGCTACTGGGGTCAGTCAGGGGTCAGAGCTGCTGGGGTCAGTCAGGGGTCAGAGCTTCTGGGGTCAGAGTTCAGAGCTACTGGGGTTAGTCAGGGGTCAGAGCTGCTGGGGTCAGTCAGGGGTCAGAGCTTCTGGGGTCAGAGTTCAGAGCTGCTGGGGTCAGTCAGGGGTCAGAGCTTCTGGGGTCAGAGTTCAGAGCTACTGGAGTCAGTCAGGGGTCAGAGCTGCTGGGGTCAGAGCTGCTGGGGTCAGTCAGGAGTCAGAGCTTCTGGGGTCAGAGTTCAGAGCTACTGGGGTCATTCAGGGGGCAGAGCTGCTGGGGTCAGAGTTCAGAGCTACTGGGGTCATTCAGGGGTCAGAGCTGCTGGGGTCAGAGTTCAGAGCTACTGGGGTCATTCAGGGGTCAGAGCTGCTGGGGTCAGTCAGGGGTCAGAGTTCAGAGCTACTGGGGTCATTCAGGGGTCAGAGCTGCTGGGGTCAGTCAGGGGTCAGAGTTCAGAGCTACTGGGGTCATTCAGGGGTCAGAGCTGCTGGGGTCAGGGGTCAGAGCTGCTGGGGTCAGTCAGGGGTCAGAGCTTCTGGGGTCAGTCAGGGGTCAGAGCTACTGGGGTCATTCAGAGGTCAGAGCTGCTGGGGTCATTCAGGTGTCAGAGCTGCTGGGGTCAGGGGTCAGAGCTGCTGGGGTCAGGGGTCAGAGCTGCTGGGGTCAGTCAGGGGTCAGAGCTTCTGGGGTCAGTCAGGGGTCAGAGCTACTGGGGTCATTCAGAGGTCAGAGCTGCTGGGGTCATTCAGAGGTCAGAGCTGCTGGGGTCATTCAGAGGTCAGAGCTGCTGGGGTCAGTCAGAGTTCAGAGCTGCTGGGGTCATTCAGATGTCAGAGCTTCTGGGGTCATTCAGAGGTCAGAGCTGCTGGGGTCAGTCAGGGGGCAGAGCTGCTGGGGTCAGTCAGAGTTCAGAGCTGCTGGGGTCATTCAGATGTCAGAGCTTCTGGGGTCATTCAGAGTTCAGAGCTGCTGGGGTCAGTCAGAGTTCAGAGCTGCTGGGGTCATTCAGATGTCAGAGCTTCTGGGGTCATTCAGAGGTCAGAGCTGCTGGGGTCAGTCAGATGTCAGAGCTTCTGGGGTCATTCAGATGTCAGAGCTGCTGGGGTCAGTCAGGGGTCAGAGCTGCTGGGGTCAGTCAGGGGTCAGAGCTGCTGGGGTCATTCAGATGTCAGAGCTGCTGGGGTCATTCAGAGGTCAGAGCTGCTGGGGTCATTCAGAGGTCAGAGATGCTGGGGTCATTCAGATGTCAGAGCTGCTGGGGTCATTCAGAGGTCAGAGCTGCTGGGGTCATTCAGAGGTCAGAGATGCTGGGGTCATTCAGATGTCAGAGCTGCTGGGGTCATTCAGAGGTCAGAGATGCTGGGGTCATTCAGAGGTCAGAGCTGCTGGGGTCATTCAGAGGTCAGAGCTGCTGGGGTCATTCAGAGGTCAGAGCTGCTGTGGTCATTCAGATGTCAGAGCTGCTGGGGTCATTCAGAGGTCAGAGATGCTGGGGTCATTCAGAGGTCAGAGATGCTGGGGTCAGTCAGAGTTCAGAGCTACTAGGGTCATTCAGAGGTCAGAGCTGCTGGGGTCAGGGGTCAGAACTGCTGGGGTCAGCGGTCAGGGGTCAGAGATGCTGGGGTCAGAGTTCAGAGCTGCTGGGGTCAGGGGTCAGAGCTGCCGGGATCAGAGTTCAGAGATGCTGGGGTCAGGGGTCAGAACTGCTGGGGTCGGAGGTCAGAGGTGTTCAGAGAGGAAGCTGTAAAGTGTTTCCTGAGGTTTTGCTCTTGATGTTTCCTTAATCACACGCTCATAGTATTGCTGCAACATGTTGAACACGGATCCTGCACAACAGAGGAGGAAATTGACTGATGAAAACCTGCACAAATATGATGTCCAGCATCCGATGCTCCTGTGATCTCAGGTGTGTCTTACCTACGCTGGCGTGACGGTGTGTGAAGTGTGTGTGGATGCGCCGGACGTCTCTGAGCAGATCCACGTCTCCAAACGTGAAGTACATCAAATCACGCTCCGCTTCTGCTGCAGCCATCATCTGAAGAACAGCTACACACACACACACACACACACACACACAGAGAGAGACACACACACACACACACACACACACACACGTTGAGAACAACAGCCGATAGCAATAACAAATATCCCCACACACACTCTTCATCTGAATTCTGAGCGAAGCCACACGGATCTGATGATGTCAGACGCAAGTGTGAATAACAGTGTGAGTTAGAGCCGTTTACTCTCTCGCTAATGAGAAACTGTATGAGGATCAATAGAGGAGAGACAGATGCTCTTCAGTAAAAACGAGAGTTCATTTGTTCCCAATAACACGTGGTGTTTAGGATAGAAACATATAGCTCTTGATTTCAGGCTTTCAGTCGAACCTTTGAGACGAGTGTCTCCTCCAAACGCTCCACATCCCCAGTTTCCCGTCGCAACGGCCGACAGATTCTCTGACTCGACTCCAGGACGAGCGAAACCACAGAAGGCCTGTGAAGACAGAGAGAGAGAGAGAGAGAGAGAGGGAGAGAGGAGAGAGAGAGATCATGAGTGACCATCGCTGAACCGGACCGAACCTCAGCTGAGTCTCATTCAGTGAGCAGATCTTCACACTTATATCTGTAAGGATATGTTTTATTATCTGTCCCTCGTGGATCAGGTTTATTGAATGTCTCTGCAACAGATTCATTCACCATTTAAATTTAATGGACAATGCTAACAGCTCTACAATCTGCAATCAATCAATCATTAATGCTTATTTACTCTGTTTGTCCACAACAATACAAATATGAATTCATCATTAATTAGGTTAGAAAGGAAACGGCAATTATAGTTTCCAGTGAAGTGCAGATGATTAAAGCGACACATCAAACACAGAAACAGACGCCCTGCTGTTCATCCGCTCGCGTTAATAATGCAGGAATAAACCAGACCAGTTTACAGCTGCGAACCGAGTCTCGTCACATGATCAGGGGCTTTATCTCTTATTGCACAGATGATGTGGGATATTTCGTGATTATGATGAGTGATATCGTGTGATTGACCTTGTTGAGTTCTCTGGTCATGTTGTCGGGGAGAAACTGCTGCAGGAAGTTCTTGTAATGCAGGGCGTCGATGGCGACGACCTCCGTGACCCTGCGCTGCCACTCGTCCCTGCGGACACACACGCGCATCAGCGTCTCTGAGAACACACACTCACAGTCAGACGAGTCGCACGTCGGCATCACCTTGGCGTCTGGTCGTCATGGTTACCGTCCCATCGGTAGGTGTGTGAGTATCCCGAGTATCTGCTGAACTGCTCTGTTCCTGTTAATACAACAGAGTCATATTCATACTTGAGCTGAATAACGACTATAACGTATTTAGAGCAGCATTATACTTTCAGAATTAATTAACTTTACAACATTGAGTTATTCTCCTGTTTATTACTGCGAAGCACTGTCTGTGACGACGGGAAACCTGTCTGAAAACAGTCATCATGAAACTATGTGATGATATCTAGGTGAAAGAGCCTCTATGTGATGGGATTTATCTGACCTTGGTGACGTGAGACAGCTGGCAGACGGTCGGTTTAGCCAGTCTGTCTGCTTCCTGACCTGAGCCCCAGATTGTCATGTTTGAGCTCTAAGACTATGTGCCATATTACTAGAGAGAAGAGCAGCACCATCCCAGGAGGGATGAATACCAACTCTTTTCAACAGGTCAGGTCTTCCCTAACAACTTTTCCAATTGTCTATGACACCTATATTATTCTGTGGACACCACTTCGCCAGCCAGCCATTGAGTGAGGACAGTCTACTAAGTATCTCATCACTCCTTCAAACAGGAAGGGGGCCAGAGCAAATCACAGTGCCTGACATCGTACTTATCTGACAATTATCAGTTTGTAGCAGTAAATAAAGAGGTGTCTTTTCGATCACAAGTTCAGTATGGCGTACCACAAGGCTCAGTACTAGGACCGCTGCTGTTCACTCTGTACATGCTACACACACACACACACACACACACACACACACACACACACTCTGTACATGCTACCCTTGGGAGATATCATTAGGAAGCATGGCATTAGTTTTCACTGTTATGCTGATGATACTCAGCTCTATATCTCTTCGCACCCCGACGAAACTTACCAATTCACAAAATTAACGGAATGCATGGCTGATATAAAAATGTCCAACTACTTAATTAAAAAAATAAAATAAAAATAAACAGAATTTCTAATGATTGGACCAAAAACCTCCTCACGTAATAACCTAGAATACCGCCTAACACTTGATGGCTGCTCTGCCAAGTCTTCGTCGTCGGTTAGGAACCTGGGTGTGTGTGTGTGTGTGTGTGTGTGTGTGTGCTCTTTGATAGCAATCTTTCATTTGAATGTCACTAGTCTAGCATCTGTAAAACCGCATTCTTCCATCTTAAAAATATATCTAAATTATGACATGTTCTCCATGACAAATGCGGAACAGTTAGTTCATGAGTTCATGACATCAAGGCTAGATTACTGTAATGCTCTACTGGGTGGTTGCCCTGCACGCATAATCAACAAACTCCAGCTGGTCCAAAACGCAGTCGCTCGAGTTATTACCAGAACCAGGAAGTATGACCATATTGCAGATTACTTACAAAGCACTAAATGGTTTAGCTCCCCAGTACTTGAGCGAGCTCTTAACGCATTATAGTCCTTCACGTCCACTGCGATCTCAAAATTCTGGCTAGTTGATAATACCTAGAACAGTGGTTCCCAAGCACGTTCCTGGAGGCCCCCCAACACTGCACATTTTCAATCTCTCCTTTGTCTGACACACCCATTTCAGGTCTTGGAGTCTCTACTAATGAGCTGATGACCTGAATCAGGTGTGTTTGAGAAATGCAAAATGTGCAGTGCTGGGGGGCCTCCAGGAACATGGTTGGGAATCACTGACCTAGAATATCAAACTCAACTGCTGGCGACTAAAAATGCTGTATTATGCTGCCAGACAAGAAATTTGTTAAGGTCAATTTATAAAGAAAGAATACACGCCTGCGCAAAAATATATTATTACGCGCATACCTATAGACTGAACACATAATATGCATGTGTATAATAACACACACACACAGCAGCGGTGGCACGATCAGTCGATCACCTGACGTAGAGGAACTGAGAGTCTAATCGGATCAGAGACTCCTGGCAGCAGCAGCGGCGGGTCCGCCCAGCATCGACCCGAACCGCAGAACCGCAGAACCACAGATAAGCTCATTGTCTTTATTGGAGAGGAAATGAGATTAACGCATTCCTGCTGGGAAGAATTCCTGCTCATGTGACCTTCAGAAGGAGTCTGGGCTTTGTGTGTTTCTGAAGCGTCTTCAGTGACCGATGCTGGAGTCTCTGACAGATTAAAGGTCACTGATGCATCTCATCTGAGCATCGGCTAAACTGAGCATCGGTTCATCTTCATCATCCCCTCGAGAGCATCATCATCTTCATCATCTTCATCATCATCGTCTCAGGTTTAATGTCAGGCCTTTGTCTCAAACACCAGCTTTATTCAGAGACGGCCTGCGATTAAAACGATTCAAATCATTTTCTAGAGATTCAGAGAGACTTTACAAATCCGGACCCGTGTGTGTGTGTGTGTGAGCTGAGGAGAAACAGCAGCGTTCATGATTCCTGCAGCAACAGGGACGTTCCTGTCGTGTGTGTGTGTGTGTATGTGATTCCTGCAGCGACTGGGACGTTCCTGTCGTGTGTTTGTGTGTGTGTGTTCTGGCTGCAGATCCGCATCGGTGAGTCACTGATCTCCATCTCTCACTGAAGCCTGACAGGGCAGACGCTCCGCAATCAGCCGCAATTCAATTAACCGAAGCCACTTTGGCAAATTTCTGTACAGCTACAAGATCCATTTTACCCATCGATGTCTGAGAGCCGAGCGGGGAATATGATTTTAGAGATAGTGTGGGGGAGAGAGAGAGAGAGAGAGAGAGAGAGAGAGAGACGCTGTAATAGAGGAGATGTCGTGGCCCGGTGCATTAGCATTAGCCCAGCGACTCCAGTCGGCTCTTAGAGCCATAATTAATTCTGCAGGACTGTAATAAAGTTAAGAGCTGTAAGTGGCGGGAGGGGGGCGGGGCCTGAAGGTGACTCCATGGAGACAAGATGACCGGGGGGCGGGGCCTGAAGGTGACTCCATGGAGACGAGATGACCGGGGGGCGGGGCCTGAAGGTGACTCCATGGAGACTAGACGACCGGGGGGCGGGGCCTGAAGGTGACACCATGGAGACGAGATGACCGGGGGGCGGGGCCTGAAGGGCGGAGCCTACAGGTGACTCCATGGAGACAAGATGACGGACAGCCGAGCCAAGAATACTGGAAGAGGACAACGAGTCCTTCTGCTACTCAGTCGACGAGGAGGCCGAAACAGGTCTGTCGTGTGTGTGTGTGTGTGTGTGTGTTAATGCTGAAGATTCTCAACGCTACATTAGTGCAAACACCCGCCTTCTAGTGTTTCCTCCTTCAGAACACGACTGTGATGAAGAGCAGCAGACGAAGCGTTATGAGTTACACTGATGTGTGTGTGTAGCTGACTGAACCATCTGAGGACACTGAGACACACACACACACACACACTGCAACCTTTATGAGCACTTAAGAAATGAAGGATTTTTGCAGACATCAGCATTCTGGAACATCAACGCAAACTTCTTTCTTACACCATTTTAGTGATTAAGAGAAGGTGCTTTAACAGCTGTGGAGAACGCGTCTCATGAGAACACACACCAGAGCCGTTCTCACGGGTCAATGAAGCTGCTTATTCACGCATACGGGTTCAGATCACGCAGAGAACGCAGTGCAAGCAAGTAAAAACTTTGAAATATCAGCCAATTTTCCTGGAATCATTCATCACAGTTCCATTTTAGTTGGAACAGGAGGAACCCTTTAAAACTACATGTAAATGGGAAAAAAATACAAAATAAAACCCTGATCATTGCTAACACAAATGTCAGAAGACACTGACGGCCTTTACGAGCACTTCAGAAATGAAGGGTTTTTGCAGAACGTCACCATCACATGCAAGCAGCGTCAGGGACAGACAGCAATCACACACACAGACTGATTGAGTCTCAGCGGGTCTGAAGGTTTGAGTGCTGATTACAGTCTGAACACACACTCCACAGGGATCTCAGCGTGTTCTTCTGTGTTTGTTCTACCTGTGATGATCAGACACTCGTTGTCCTCCAGAGCTTCAGTGAAGAGGCGAGCAGCGATCAGCTCCGGGTTTATCAGGAAACGGATTTCCTCCTGAACCAGACCAGAACCGGTCACTCCCCCCCCGACAAACCTGTTGGCAAAGTCCACCTGCAGAAAACACACACACACACACACTATATATATATATATATATATATATATATATATAACAGTCTCACACACACAAGGTGACACAATGTTCATTTTCTCCCAAATATGATGTTTTTTTGCCTGACCTTTGACCCGGAGGTGTGTGAAGCGAGTGGTGGTGCGTGTGGTGATGTGTGTGTGAGGCGAGTGGTGGGGCGTGCGGTGATGCGTGTGGTGGTGCGTGTGTGTGAGGCGTGTGGTGGTGCGTGCGGTGATGCGTGTGGTGGTGCGTGTGGTGGTGCGTGTGGTGATGCGTGTGGTGGTGCGTGTGGTGGTGCGTGTGGTGATGCGTGTGGTGGTGCGTGTGGTGGTGCGTGTGGTGGTGCGTGTGGTGGTGCGTGTGGTGATGCGTGTGGTGGTGCGTGTGGTGGTGCGTGTGTGTGAGGCGTGTGGTGATACGTGTGGTGGTGCGTGTGGTGATGCGTGTGGTGATGCGTGTGGTGAGGCGTGTGGTGATGCGTGTGGTGATGCGTGTGGTGGTGCGTGTGGTGGTGCGTGTGGTGATGCGTGTGGTGGTGCGTGTGGTGGTGCGTGTGGTGGTGCGTGTGGTGGTGCGTGTGGTGATGCGTGTGGTGATGTGTGTGGTGATGCGTGTGGTGGTGCGTGTGGTGATGCGTGCGGTGATGCGTGTGGTGATGCGGGTGGTGATGCGTGTGGTGGGGCGTGCGGTGATGCGTGTGGTGGTGCGTGTGTGTGAGGCGTGTGGTGGTGCGTGCGGTGATGCGTGTGGTGGTGCGTGTGGTGGTGCGTGTGGTGAGGCGTGTGGTGATGCGTGTGGTGATGCGTGTGGTGGTGCGTGTGGTGGTGCGTGTGGTGATGCGTGTGGTGGTGCGTGTGGTGGTGCGTGTGTGTGAGGCGTGTGGTGATACGTGTGGTGGTGCGTGTGGTGATGCGTGTGGTGAGGCGTGTGGTGATGCGTGTGGTGATGCGTGTGGTGGTGCGTGTGGTGGTGCGTGTGGTGATGCGTGTGGTGGTGCGTGTGGTGGTGCGTGTGGTGGTGCGTGTGGTGGTGCGTGTGGTGATGCGTGTGGTGATGTGTGTGGTGATGCGTGTGGTGGTGCGTGTGGTGATGCGTGCGGTGATGCGTGTGGTGATGCGGGTGGTGATGCGTGTGGTGGTGCGTGCGGTGATGCGTGCGGTGATGCGTGTGGTGATGCGTGTGGTGGTGCGTGTGGTGGTGCGTGTGGTGGTGCGTGTGGTGGTGCGTGTGGTGGTGCGTGTGGTGATGCGTGTGGTGGTGCGTGTGGTGATGCGTGTGGTGGTGCGTGTGGTGGTGCGTGTGGTGCTGCGTGTGGTGGTGCGTGTGGTGATGCGTGTGGTGATGCGTGTGGTGGTGCGTGTGGTGGTGCGTGTGGTGATGCGTGCGGTGATGCGTGTGGTGATGCGTGTGGTGATGCGTGTGGTGGTGCGTGTGGTGATGCGTGCGGTGATGCGTGTGGTGATGCGTGTGGTGATGCGTGTGGTGGTGCGTGCGGTGATGCGTGTGGTGCGTGCGGTGATGCGTGTGGTGATGCGTGTGGTGATGCGTGTGGTGGTGCGTGCGGTGATGCGTGTGGTGCGTGCGGTGATGCGTGTGGTGATGCGTGTGGTGATGCGTGTGGTGGTGCGTGCGGTGATGCGTGTGGTGCGTGCGGTGATGCGTGTGGTGCGTGCGGTGATGCGTGTGGTGGTGCGTGTGGTGGTGCGTGCGGTGGTGCGTGTGTGTGAGGCGTGTGGTGAGGCGTGTGGTGATGCGTGCGGTGATGCGTGTGGTGGTGCGTGCGGTGATGCGTGTGGTGGTGCGTGTGGTGATGCGTGTGGTGATGCGTGTGGTGGTGCGTGTGGTGATGCGTGTGGTGATGCGTGCGGTGATGCGTGTGGTGATGCGTGCGGTGATGCGTGTGGTGATGCGTGTGGTGATGCGTGTGGTGGTGCGTGTGTGTGAGGCGTGTGGTGAGGCGTGTGGTGATGCGTGTGATGATGCGTGTGGTGGTGCGTGCGGTGATGCGTGTGGTGGTGCATGTGGTGGTGCGTGTGGTGATGCGTGTGGTGATGCGTGTGGTGATGCGTGTGGTGGTGCGTGTGGTGGTGCGTGCGGTGGTGCGTGTGGTGGTGCGTGTGGTGGTGCGTGTGGTGATGCGTGTGGTGATGCGTGTGGTGGTGCGTGCGGTGGTGCGTGCGGTGATGCGTGTGGTGATGCGTGTGGTGATGCGTGTGGTGGTGCGTGCGGTGGTGCGTGCGGTGGTGCGTGCGGTGATGCGTGTGGTGAGGCGTGTGGTGATGCGTGTGGTGGTGCGTGTGGTGATGCGTGTGGTGATGCGTGTGGTGGTGCGTGTGGTGGTGCGTGCGGTGGTGCGTGCGGTGATGCGTGTGGTGATGCGTGCGGTGGTGCGTGCGGTGATGCGTGCGGTGATGCGTGCGGTGGTGCGTGTGGTGGTGCGTGCGGTGATGCGTGTGGTGATGCGTGTGGTGGTGCGTGTGGTGATGCGTGTGGTGGTGCGTGTGGTGATGCGTGTGGTGATGCGTGTGGTGGTGCGTGTGGTGGTGCGTGCGGTGGTGCGTGCGGTGATGCGTGTGGTGGTGCGTGTGGTGATGCGTGTGGTGATGCGTGTGGTGGTGCGTGCGGTGGTGCGTGCGGTGATGCGTGTGGTGAGGCGTGTGGTGATGCGTGTGGTGGTGCGTGTGGTGATGCGTGTGGTGATGCGTGTGGTGGTGCGTGTGGTGGTGCGTGCGGTGGTGCGTGCGGTGATGCGTGTGGTGATGCGTGTGGTGGTGCGTGCGGTGATGCGTGTGGTGATGCGTGTGGTGATGCGTGCGGTGATGCGTGCGGTGGTGCGTGTGGTGATGCGTGCGGTGATGCGTGCGGTGGTGCGTGCGGTGATGCGTGTGGTGATGCGTGTGGTGATGCGTGTGGTGATGCGTGTGGTGATGCGTGCGGTGATGCGTGTGGTGATGCGTGTGGTGAGGCGTGTGGTGATGCGTGTGGTGATGCGTGTGGTGGTGCGTGTGGTGATGCGTGTGGTGGTGCGTGTGGTGATGCGTGTGGTGGTGCGTGTGGTGGTGCGTGTGGTGGGGCGTGTGGTGGTGCGTGTGTGTGAGGCGTGTGGTGATGCGTGCGGTGATGCGTGTGGTGTGTGCGGTGATGCGTGTGGTGGTGCGTGCGGTGATGCGTGTGTGTGAGGCGTGTGGTGGTGCGTGCGGTGATGCGTGTGTGTGAGGCGTGTGGTGATGCGTGCGGTGATGCGTGTGTGTGAGGCGTGTGGTGATGCGTGCGGTGATGCGTGTGGTGTGTGCGGTGATGCGTGTGGTGGTGCGTGCGGTGATGCGTGTGGTGGTGCGTGCGGTGAGGCGTGTGGTGATGCGTGTGGTGGTGCGTGCGGTGATGCGTGTGGTGGTGCGTGCGGTGAGGCGTGTGGTGATGCGTGTGGTGGTGCGTGCGGTGATGCGTGTGGTGGTGCGTGCGGTGAGGCGTGTGGTGCGTGCGGTGATGCGTGTGGTGATGCGTGTGGTGGTGCGTGCGGTGATGCGTGTGGTGGTGCGTGCGGTGATGCGTGTGTGTGAGGCGTGTGTGTGAGGCGTGTGGTGGTGCGTGCGGTGATGCGTGCGGTGGTGCGTGTGGTGATGCGTGCGGTGATGCGTGCGGTGGTGCGTGCGGTGATGCGTGTGGTGATGCGTGTGGTGGTGCGTGCGGTGATGCGTGTGGTGATGCGTGTGGTGATGCGTGTGGTGATGCGTGCGGTGATGCGTGTGGTGATGCGTGTGGTGAGGCGTGTGGTGATGCGTGTGGTGATGCGTGTGGTGGTGCGTGTGGTGATGCGTGTGGTGGTGCGTGTGGTGATGCGTGTGGTGGTGCGTGTGGTGGTGCGTGTGGTGGGGCGTGTGGTGGTGCGTGTGTGTGAGGCGTGTGGTGATGCGTGCGGTGATGCGTGTGGTGTGTGCGGTGATGCGTGTGGTGGTGCGTGCGGTGATGCGTGTGTGTGAGGCGTGTGGTGGTGCGTGTGGTGATGCGTGCGGTGATGCGTGTGTGTGAGGCGTGTGGTGATGCGTGTGGTGATGCGTGCGGTGATGCGTGCGGTGGTGCGTGTGGTGATGCGTGCGGTGATGCGTGTGTGTGAGGCGTGTGGTGATGCGTGCGGTGATGCGTGTGGTGTGTGCGGTGATGCGTGTGGTGGTGCGTGCGGTGATGCGTGTGTGTGAGGCGTGTGGTGATGCGTGTGGTGATGCGTGCGGTGATGCGTGTGTGTGAGGCGTGTGGTGATGCGTGCGGTGATGCGTGTGGTGTGTGCGGTGATGCGTGTGGTGGTGCGTGCGGTGATGCGTGTGGTGGTGCGTGCGGTGAGGCGTGTGGTGATGCGTGTGGTGGTGCGTGCGGTGATGCGTGTGGTGGTGCGTGCGGTGAGGCGTGTGGTGATGCGTGTGGTGGTGCGTGCGGTGATGCGTGTGGTGGTGCGTGCGGTGAGGCGTGTGGTGCGTGCGGTGATGCGTGTGGTGGTGCGTGCGGTGATGCGTGTGGTGGTGCGTGCGGTGATGCGTGTGTGTGAGGCGTGTGGTGGTGCGTGCGGTGATGCGTGTGGTGCGTGCGGTGATGCGTGTGTGTGAGGTGTGTGGTGGTGCGTGCGGTGATGCGTGTGGTGGTGCGTGCGGTGATGCGTGTGGTGATGCCTGTGGTGATGCGTGTGGTGGTGCGTGCGGTGATGCGTGTGGTGGTGCGTGTGGTGGTGCGTGTGTGTGAGGCGTGTGGTGGTGCGTGCGGTGATGCGTGTGGTGCGTGCGGTGATGCGTGTGGTGCGTGCGGTGATGCGTGTGGTGGTGCGTGTGTGTGAGGCGTGTGGTGGTGCATGTGTGTGAGGCGTGTGGTGGTGCGTGTGGTGATGCGTGTGTGTGTGGTGTGTGTGGTGATGCGTGTGTGTGTGGTGTGTGTGTGTGAGGCGTGTGGTGGTGCATGTGTGTGAGGCGTGTGGTGATGCGTGTGGTGATGCGTGTGTGTGTGGTGT